AGGAGGAAATCCCCTCCTATGACAAGGATACCCATTAATCTCATATGAGATTAATGGGTATCCTTGTCCATAGGAGGGGATTTCCTCCTTGACGCCTCTAAAATCACATGATTGAGCGACATTGTGGATAATCCGTTCCGTTGAACTTGATCTACATATTCTAAAACTCTAATACACCAAGTTTGGGGTGAACCCGTCGTCGTTTGACCCTTCATCCACTCGTATCAATTTTAACGGTTTTGAATGAATAGAACTTTTCACATGGCTCGATGGAGGGTCAAACGACGACGGATTCACCTCAAACTTGATGTGTTGGGGTTTTATAATATGTAGATCAAGTTCAACGGAGCGGATCATCCACAATGTCGCTCAATCATGTGATTTTAGAGGCGTCATAGGAGGAAATCCCCTCCCATGACAAGGATACGCATTAATCTCATATATATATATATATATATATATATATAATATCATAATATAATATATATATATATATTATAAATATATTCGAGAATTAATTGGGATCCTTACAAGGAGGGGATTCCCTCTTGACAGATGATATGGCACAATCCCCACATGATGAATTCTCTCACTATTTTTATTTCTCTCTCATTCAATTGATGGGGTATATGATGCCACATCTTTATTCTCTCTCTCTTACAACGCGTGAGGATTGTGTTTCAATTATCATTGTCAAGGAAAACCCCTTGTTCAAGAGATACCCATTAATATCTCTCTCTCTTCTCTCTCTCTTCTCTATATAATATATTATATACTTATATATTATATATATATATTATATCATACTCTCTTTTAAAGCAGCGAGTTCGGAAAAAAAAAAATCAGCAGACAGAATACTCTTGGAATTCAAATACTAATCCATTAGTAAGAGTAGCTTGATAAATTGATGAATTCTTATTGGATATATACTATATATATATACTTTATATATATTATTATATATATATATATATTAATATTTATATATATCATATTCCCTTTAAAAGCACGAGTTCGGAAAAAATTTTCGACAGACAGAAATACCCTTGGAATTCAAATACTAATCCATTAAGTAAGAGTAAGTTGATAAATTGATGAATTCTTATTGGATATACATAGTATGAAGATAAGGATATAGTTTAAATTGAAATGTAAACCTGAATAAAATTATTAAATGCCAAATTTACAAATATCTACAAGATGAAGGACATATACAAAAACCAAACAAATTAACGAAACAAATAATGCCTGCCCCAAAGGTCGAACCCAAGAACAGCGCAAACCTAACGTGGATCGGATATTTGTAAAATCTATCAAGCAAATTGAAAAGACAAAAGTTATTCTCAAAATTATTAAAAAGGAAAATTAAAATAAATATTCGCAATCTGAGGAACAACTTGGTGATCTCCCACCGACTAAAATTTAAATAGTTCACGATACTGTATAATTAGTTTCAAAGTTAAATTATACTAATATTATTTAATTAGAACTCTATTTATAATTGTTATCCTCTCACATGTAACATCACATACCAATATATAAGCCAAGAAATTATAACAATTTTCATAGCACTTTCATCTCCTTCTATAGGTATATGTCCTTATTATTTTTTTCTTATTAGATTAGATTATTTTAAAGTAATTAATTGTATTGTATATTTAATATTTTTTATATTAAGAAATAGCAATAGTTTTCACAGCATTTTCATCTATTTTCTTATTAGATTAGATTATTTTAAAACAATTACTTATATTGTATGTTTGATTTTTTTAGATCAGAAATTGTATCATAGCACTTTCATCTCTTTCAACAGATGTATGCCTTTGTTATTTTCTTCTTATTAGATTAGATTATAAGATTAGATTAAATTGTTTAAAAATTATGAATTATGAAATTACAATAATTTTCACATCACTTTCATCTATTTTATTCTTATTAGATTAGATTAGATTATTTTAAAGTAATTAATTATATTGTATATTTGATCTTTTTTTCAGATTACAAAGTTTAATTATACTATTATTATTTAAATAGATATTGTTTGTATAAAAGTCAAAGAGATTCTCACACGTATCTTAGATCTCAATGTTAATTGTAACACTTACATATATATGTTGGTTAAAATAAATTTCATGTATGTGCTTAACTTATATGATCCTACTTTAACCGATTAAATAATTTAAAATTTTTGTACACCCAAACTCTTCCACAAAACCAAAAGAGTAGCAATGCTATAGCTATATATCCACGAGACCACAGATATCTTAAAAATGAACAAAGAAAACTACACAAACAAAAACTATATTAATTACCCCCCACACCCACTATTTTCAAAACCACCATTCTCTATCTCCATCTATAATATACCTACATATCCAAGTTAAGCTGCTAGAGTTTCCCTCTCACCAACTACATCATTGATTAACTCTCCTTTTTTCTTTGTACTTAATACTTAAATTGTATAATATTCATTGTGATGAGGACTCACCCGGGTCCTCTGCTTGCTTTTAATGTATAATTAAAAAATATATATATACTAAGTCTTGTAGTTAGTAATGAGATCCTGTCATTATAAATAAATTAAGCAAAGATTAATAATTCTTAAGAATATATTACATTCCCCTAGCTTCCACTGCAAACTTGTTAGTTGATTATTCCTGGTTCCAAGAGATTTTCAAATTTAATCTTGATAGTTGCTTGCATTAAAAAAGTTATGTTAAATGGTCCATACAGTCTGTTTTATAGTTTAAAATTATCAACACATTTTGTCTCTGATGCATATCAATCATGAGTAATAATATAACTTGATTGATCCAAGTATATCCTAATATGTTTCTGGACTCTTGCCCTGTCTTTTGCTCTCTATTATATACCAACATGATATTACAATTGATGTAGACGATGAAACTACTGTAAAATTACCCAGGAAAAAGATAAAGGTGGAGAAGAATTGATATCGGCTCAATTAAATATAAAAAAGAATGAATAAATGATAATATTTTTTGAATATTTTATAGTAAAACTTAATTTTTGAGTAAAATTAGGAATTTTTAGAAGTGATTTTCATGTAAAATTTTTAATATGGTTATGATTTTGGCATATAAAATTATACTAGAGTCATCATTAATCTTTAGTATTTTTTTTTTTGTTTTAAGTCTATCAATAATTAAGATGTCTTGTAGTAATATGAAAAGTATGGGCTCTGCTGAGCTTATACAAACCATCTTAATATTAAGTATTTGGTTATATTTTTATTAACACATCAATAATATATTGTTGTGTTTTTTCAAACTTAACACTACATTTAATGACTAAGATAAACAAATTGGAGATCAATGATTTGATCCGATAAATAAATTTGTTACATGAAGTTTGATATAATTTAAAAAATAAATGTTGTGTATGCAAGTATATAAAAGTATATTGATCCTAATTTTACACACAAATTTGTTTCATAATTTTTTTTAAAAATATTTAAATAAAATTTATGGCAAATATAATAATCCATGTTTATAGATTTTAGCTCAAAATGAATCTGACTTATTTTATAGTAAGAAAATAAACAAAAAAATAAATAATTTTGCACGTGCACAAGAACTCTGATACTATTTTTTCCTTATAAAAGTACGAGTTTCAGAAAAACTTTCCATAGTCAATATTACTTTTAAACCTTTTGGATATTACCTTCCAATCTTATCATAATTAATAATATATCAAATTTTTCAAAATTAAAATCTTTAACCAAAAATTGATATAGAAAGAGATCAAATAGTGAAACTAATTCTCTATCATAGTAAAAGATGACATGTGTCCAACTAACTCTATCTTCCTGAGAATTCTCATTAAATTAAAACTATTCACATCCATAATTAAAAAATTCTATCTATGAAAATATAGAAAATTTTAACAATCACGTCTTTGTTAATTCTAAATAATTTGTAACTATCTACAATTACAAAATCTAAAAAATGTCATGTGTCCTTCCTTAATTATTTTAAAGACTTAAATTTTAGTAAATCTCTCGTATCTTTGAATTGAGGAATAAATTCCTAAATATTTGCAACTCTCATTAAATCCACAGTAAATTTTATAATTTCAGAAAATATGCAATACATTTTAATTTTTCGCACTTGACCTTCATAATGGAAAAATTATCCCTCAAGCATAGTATATACCCCTCGAATCATTCTTATTTACAAATGATCCTATTCATTTAGAAACAATCCTAAAAAATTTTACACTGACTAAAGTTAACCCTCAAGCACAATACAAACCCCTCAAATAATTCTTATTTACAAATTATCCCATAAAGTTACAAATAATCCTGAAAAATATAAAAAATTACAAATAGTTATCTAAAAAATCTAAAATTATAAATAACACAAAAAATTTTAAAAGCTACAAACAACTCCTTTAAATTCCTAAAAATTATAGAAAAAGCCATTGACAAATTGGGATATTAAAAACAAACTCTTGAAAATTAAAAAAAAAACATATACCCTCCTTAAAAAATCTTAAATTACAAAAAACCCTTGAAAATCTAAAAATTAAAAAAAGTCTTTTAAAATTCTAAAATTATAAATGACCCAAAAAATGCATAAATTGCAAACAACCTTTATCAAAGTCCAAAAAGTACAAACAACCCTCTTTAAAATTTAAAAATTACAAATGACCCCTAAAATTCTAAAATTCAAATACATGAAAAATTATAAAATTACAAGAAACCCCGTAGAA